TTCTCTTTTCTTCTCTTCTCCTCTCTCTCTCTCTCACTTTTCTCTTCTCTTCTTTTGTCCTCAAAATCTCAAATCTTCTCTTTCTCTATTCTCTCTCTTTTATCCTCTCTCTTTCTCTGCTTCTTTATACTATTTCCTTTCCCCCCAATTCTCCATTTTTCCCCTCTTCTCCCTTTCTTCTTTTACTCCCTCTTCCTCCTTTCTCTCAAACCTCCGCCTCGTCCTCCGAGCTGGCCGAGGGCGACGAGGAGGTGGACGAGGAGGAAGCAGCTGCATCGGATGAGGACGAGGACGAGGACGAGGACGACGAAGAACAGCAGAGCCTCGTCCCTCCTTTGCTCACGAGGCGGTCGGGGAGGAGGATATCCTCGTCCTCCTCGTCCGACATCTCATACCACGGCCTCTCCTCTCTCTTTGCTCTGTCGCCTCGCTCGCCTCGCTCCCGCTCCCTCTCACTGTGGCTCTTGTCTCTCTCGGCGCGCTCTCCCCTCTCCCGGTCTCCCCTCTCACACGTAGAGGTCGAAGGCGGGGAGTGGATTCCGCGCACGGCTGCCTCCGTCATCTGAATGGGATGAACAATCTTATCATCATCATTTGTATAAAATTTGTATTTGTATAAAAATAAAATATAAAATCATTATCATCATTTGTATAAAAGTATGAATGAGAATGAAAATCTCTACAATACAAGAGATGCATTTGACTGGTTTTGAATATATCTTCGTCGGAAATACATGTATTTCTGACGAAGATATACTCAAAACCGGTCAAATACATCTCTTGTATTGTGGAGATTTTCATTCTCATTCATACCTTTCTACATTTGTCAACATGAATACGGTTCATTTTCATCATTGTCAACATTATCATTTCCATTACTTTATTACTTTATTTATTATTCCGCAAAGGGAGTCAACTAAAAAGACCTTACGACCTCAAGTGATTTCACCTTTCATTGAGTTTGCGGGAAAAACGCTTCTTACGAATGCTATCAATAGTGATGCTGTTATTTTTATCATAAACAACATAATTATTATAGTATTTTTATATCGGAAACAAAACTGCATTACTAAAACCAATATCAAATGGCACAAAATATTATCGAAAATCAAGGTAAGACATTCTCTCTCTCTCTCCCTCCCTCTATCTCTCTTTCTCTTTCTCCACCTCTTCAGGTAGTTCTCATCACTGGCTCATTGGTGATGGAGGATTTGTGGAGCCATCTATGTGTAAAAGATATTACTAAAACAAACACTCGATGGACAGGGCATGGACACACATGGTATCCCTGGCAGAATGTAGTTAAGATTATTGCTATCAATATCATCATTTTCTCTCTCTCTCTCTCTTGTCTTTCTTTATTCTCTCTCTCTCTCTCTCTCCCTGTCTCCCTCCTTCACCCTTACCCTCTCCCTCGTCTGCCACTCACCTCGTTCTCTCTCTATCTCTCTCTCTTCTCTCTCTCTTCCCCCCCCCCTCACTCTCTCTCTCTCTCTCTCTCTTTTTCCCCCCACTCACCTTGGCACCTGAAGCCGTGAGCCCTTCCTCTGAGCCCTTCCTCAGGGCTGCAACACCCTTCTGCTCGCATGAAATGTCAATGATGTTTGCCGTCTTGACACTGAGTTGTTTCCTGAGGGAAGGCAGGAGCGTGAGGGAGTAGTCGAAGGAGGAGGAGGATGCTGCAGAGGAGCCTTCCTTGCTGCTGGCCCCTCCAACGCTACCCTTGCCGACACTTAGCTGCCGTGCCGACTCGCTCTTGCTGACGTCGGAGGCGTGCGAGGGGGGTGAGAGGGCAGACTCGGTCTTGCTGACCTCACTAGGCGCCGGGGACATCCGTCCACCTGCTCCAAGGGGGCTGCAGTCTGCCGTTGGGAGAAGGTCCTGAGTTAGCGTCAGGCCCACAGGAGGTCCTGATGCAGCTACTGGCGCTACATTCCCTCCGCCTGCTCCTGCTCCTCCCCCTGCTGCTCCTCCTCCTCCAGCTCCAATGTCCCTGCTCATGCCAGCCTTGTGGAGACTAAACTCACTCTTGAAGGAGGATGAGGGGAAGCCCGAGGATGAGGAAGAGGAAGAGGAGGAGGACGTATATGAGAAGTCGGGTCTCGAGTCCCACTTAGACGACCTGGAGGAATGTCGGCCGACGAGCATGGCTTCATCGCTCCCTTCACCTTCAAGAAGTGCCTCTCCTCCTCCCTTGAGGACTGCTCCTTCAGGCACAGGAGGCAAGGGGAAGTCCTCGAGGACCTCGAGAAGCACCCCTCCCCCCCCGCCTTCGGGCCCCGGAGTACAATCCTCAGCCGTCCGCCGCGAGGGGGGGGGAGGTGGATGGGAGGGGGAGGAGGATGCAGCAGTGGAGGTGGGGATGCCCTTGAGGGTCTTGGGACTAAGGCTGATATCAGGGGCCCCTTGACCTCGAGCTCTGAGCTTTGAGGGGGCTTCAAGAAAGTCGGAGGGTGGGGGAGGAGGTGCAGAGGGTGAGGAGGAAGAGGAGGAAGAAGACGACGACGATGAGGGAGAGGAGGCATGGGGGGAGGCAACGGGGAGGGCAGAGGGGGTGGATTCAGCAGTGGACAGGGGACCTGCTGCACAGGAGACAGGGGGCGGGGAGGAATAGGAGAAGGAAGAAGAGGAAGATGATGAGGAGGACGGCAACAGTGGTGCTATCTTGGATGAGGCAGAAGGCCTTCCGACAGACGATTCCTCCGAGGAATTGGAGTCTGAAGTCGTGGCTGACGCATCAACTCCTGAATAGAATCCTCCTCCTCTTCTATGTCCTCTTTGGGATCCCGTTCCACCCGCAACACCTCCCAGAAGGACTCCCATGCCCGTTCTCATCCCACGTCTTGCTCCTCCTCCTCCTTCTGGTCGCTCTTCCTCCTCCTCCTCCTCTTCTGCCTCCTGCTGCTCCTCCTGGTGGCCCTCTTCCTCCTCTTGCTCCTCGCGCTCCTCCCTAAACTTCCCGTATGTCTCTTCAAAGTCCCTCGTGGTCAGCTCTGGCGTCTGCTTTGGGCCGCTTGCTCCCTGCTTGATGCTGCTGGGTTCTGCTGCCTTGCTGGGGGTGCTCGTGCCCTGCTTGGCCTTGTTCTTCCTGGATGGCCAAGGCGGTCGCAGTGAGAACTTGTGCAGGAACCCTCTACGCTTTAAGGACGAAGAGGATGAGGAGGCAGTGGTGGCTGTGGTGGAAGCCGTGGTGGAAGAGGTGGTAGAGGTCGGGAAGGTGGTGGAAGCCGTGGTGGCAGGAGGAAGGGGAAGGGGGAGAGGGGGCGTGTCAGCGGCTGAGGAATGGGAGGAGGAGGAAGGCGATGAGGAAGCAGCAGAAGCAGCAACGACGACGGAAGAGGCAGAGACATTGGGGCAAGAGGAGGAGAAAGACGGCGGATGAGGATGAGGGAGGTTGTGCTGGGAATTCTGTTGGAGGAGGAAGTCTCTCCGCTGCGTGGTATTGCGAGAGACACTGCGCGCAGCGGAGATAGGAATTCCGAGTGCCTCAGAGATTAAAAAGTGTTTGCCATCAACAGCAGACGAAGGGAGAGGAGGAGGATGTGAGGAGGAGGAAGAGGAGGATGAGGAGGAAGAAGGGGCAGCAGCACCTCGAGGGGGGGGCATTGGAGGTGGATGGGAATGCCGCGGTGCAGGAGCAGTGGGATGAGGAGGACCAGCAGATGCAGCAGCAGGACGAGGCGCCTGCAAAGAGGAGGACGGTGATGCAGGAGGAGGAGGAAGGGCTGGGGCACCTCCCCCACCTAAGTCCGCTTCCTTTGCTTCCCCTTCTCTAGATGATGACGATGTGGGACTTGTGACAGGGGCCTGGCAGGAGGACGAGGGAGCTACAGCCACCCCACAACCTCCTCTTTCCCCTCGACCCCCTCCAGGGTCATCCTCCCCAATACCTACTGGGGGGTCATCCTCGGCGCTCTCATCGCTTGAGGGCTCGATCACCTCCAGCACCGAGCACGAGCCACTCTCAGAGGTTAGGGCGAGCTCCCTCAGCCGCGCACTCACCTCCTCCTTGGCCGGGAGGCGCTCGCTGGCTGATGAGAAGCTGTTGGAGGGGAAAGTGTTGGAGAAACTGGTGTTACTGGGAAATGTGGCATTGAGGGAGAAGGGGACGGTGCTCGAGAAGGACGCACTGTTGGGAAAGGTGTTGGAGAAGGCGTCGCTGATGAGGCCCAGGCCAGGCGAGAGGGAAGCGTCTGCCCAGTACGGACGGCTGCCAGGGGATTCCTCTCTCGGTCGTCCTCCTTTCCTTTCCTCTCCTTCTCTCGGTCTCCCTTCTTCTCCCGTTCCAACTCCTCTCTCTCCCTTTCTCTCTTCTACTCTTCTCCTCCCATCCTCTTCTCTCCTCCCTCCTGCTCCTCCCTTCTCTCTCACTCCTTTCCCAAGGGGTCTCCTACGCGAAGGAGGGAGGAGGGGGGGGACGCGAAAGACCCCTCCCCCCGGCGTGCCCTCTCCCCCCACTCCCTCCTCACCTCCCTTCCTCAGTGGGGTCGACGTGGAGATGAAATGGCGACGGAACTTCCCCTCATCTTCCTCCCTTTCCCTGTTATTGAATTCCTGCTCCCTTTCTCCTTCTCCTCCTCCTCCTCCTCCTTCTCCCCTCCTCTCCTCCTCATTTCCTCTCCTCCCCTCCTTCCTTTCTTCCTCCTCCTCCTCCTCCTCCTCATCTTTCCTCTCCTCTGCCCTCCATCTCCTCCTCTCCCTCTTCCATCATTATCTCCTCTTCCTCTTCCTCTTCCTCTTCTATCTCGTCTTCGCTGAAGGGAAAGAGGGAGGCGATGGACTCTGTGGAAGACCCAAGGGCTGTTACGGGGGGCTCACCTCCGCCGCCTCCCCCCTGAGCACGAACCGAACACAACTTCGCTCTGTGGAGAAAAAGGGTAATAAATAATGAGGAATTAACAAATAAATGAATGATTGAATAGTAAAAGAAAAGAAAAATAGAGAAGAGGTGACAGAGGGAGGGAGGGAGACAGAGGAATAAGAGAGAAAGCGAGAGAGAAAGAGAGAGAGAGAGAGAGAGAGAGAGAGAGAGAGAGAGAGAGAGAGAGAGAGGGAGAGAGAGAGAGAGAGAGAGAAGAGAGAGAGAGAGAGAGAGAGAGAGAGAGAGAGAGAGAGAGAGAGAGAGAGAGAGAGAGAGAGAGAGAGAGAGAGAGAGAGGAGAGAGAGAGAGAGAGAGAGAGAGAGAGAGAAGAGGAGAGAGAGAGAGAGAGAGAGAGAGAGAGAGAAGAAGAGAAGAGAGAGAGAGAGAGAGAGAGAGAGAGAGAGAGAGAGAGAGAGAATAAAGAAATAAAAGAGAGTGAGAGAGGGAGAGAAAATAAAGAAAGACAAGAGAGAGGGAGAAAGAGAGAGAGAGAGATAGAAAAAAGAAAGACAGGAGAGAGAGAAAGATAGAGAGAGAGAGAGAGAGAGAGAGAGAGAGAGAGAGAGAGAGAGAGAGAGAGAGAGAGAGAGAGAGGAAGAGAGAGAGAGAGAGAGAGAGAGAGAATAAAAGAGACAAAGAGAGAGAGGGAGAAATAGAGAGAGAGAGGATAAAGAAAGAAGAGAGAGAGAGAAGAGAGAGACAAGAGAGAGAGAGAGATAAAGAAAGAGAGGAGAGAGAGAGAGATAAAAGTAAAGACAAGAGAGAGAGAGAGAGAGAGAGAGAGAGAATAAAGAAGCACAAGAGAGAGAGAGAGAGAGAGAGAGAGAGAGAGAGAGAGAGAGAGAGAGAGAGAGAGAGAGAGAGAGAGAGAGAGAGAGAAGAGAGAGAGAGAGAGAGATTAAAGAAAGACAAGAGAGAGAGAGATTAGAGAGATATAAAGAAGACAAAAGAAAGGAGAAGAGAGAGAGAGGAAAGGAGGGGAAAGAAAGAGAGAGGGGGGAGGAAGGAAGAAAGAGAAAATAAATGATAATAATAAGAATACCTATTGATGATAACAATAACAACCACTATTCTTCTTCCCTTCCTCCTTCCTCCCTCCTTCACTCCCTCCCTCTCTCTCTCTCTCTTCTCTCTGCTCTCTCTTGTCTTTCTTTAATTCTCCTCTCTCTCTCCTTGTCTTTCTTTATTCTCTCCTTCTCTCTCTTCTTTCTTTATTCTCTCTTCTCTCTCCTCTCTTTCTCCCTTCTCTTTGTCTTTTTCTTATTCTCTCTCTCTCTCTTGTCTTTCTTTTATTTTCTCTCCCTCTCTCTCTCTCATCCTCTTGTCCTTTCTTTATTCTCTCTCTCTCTCATTGTTCTTTATTCTCTCTCTATCTCTCTCTCTTGTCTTTCTTTTTATTCTCTTTTCTCTCTCTATCTCCTCTCTCGTCTCTCTCTCTCTCTCCTCTCCTCTTCTCTTCTCTCTTCTTCTCTCTGTCTGTCTTTATTTTCTCTCCTCTCTCTCTTTTCTTTCTTTATTCTCTCTCTTCTCTCTCTAGTTTATTTCTCTCTCCTCTCTCTCTCTTGTCTTTCTTTTCTCTCTCATTCTTTCTCTTTGTCTTATTCTCTTCTCTCTTCTCTCTTGTCTTTCTTTATTCTTTCTCCTCTCTCTCTCTCTCTCTTGTCTTGTCTTTATTCTTTCTCTCACTTCTTTCTCCCTCTCTCTCCTCGTCTTGTCTTGCTTTATTCCTCTCTCATCTCTCTCATGTCTTTCTTTATTCTCTTCTCTCT